CTTTCAGAATGGTTTCTGTGGGCAAACCTGAAAATGCCCATTTTACCTCACGTCTTTGGGGGTTTTGTAGGCAAATGTACTCCTTTTCCTGCCCGTGCTATTGCATGCGTTCATAGCAGGTGCTGCTTCTGCTCTTCCATAAACACACAGGAGCAAATTCTGTGTTGTCTGCACAGTCCTCTAGTATAAATTTTCTCTTTGGCTGCCGTATACCCTCGGTACGTTTGTCTCGCAGTGCTCTTGCGTTGGGGCTCAGTCAATGGGTAGGCTTCTACACCTATTTATCTCTTCATTAGCAGCTGTGGGAGACTCTCCAAACGAGCCAAGCAGCTCCAGTGCAATTCCCTCTTTCTTTGACACTGAATTGAATCAAGCATGAGACAAGTCTTATGAAATCTGGAATATCTAGTTTATTGTCACAGAGAAAAAAAGTGTCCTGCTTTAAATTTTTCTAGTTAAGTTTTTAAAGAACTTAATCTTCAGAATTGTGTTAGATGATGAGTTATCTTGATGGCAAGCAGAAAAAATCAGTTGGAGCTGGGTTTTTTGTTTGTGTGCACAATGTTTCTTTCACTCATGAGTTAGGAATGATTATTGTGATGGAAATGATTGACTGGGTAAGTCTGATTTGCTTCATCATAATCTGTATATTTGTGTTAGAATATCAAGTACGTTTTGCAATATTTGCATTCCTGGAAGCTCCACGTTGCCTGGTGATCCAGGCCTGTGAAAATACGAGATTCAGCGCAGGCAGTTTGAGAGAGCTGAGACTAGTGATTAATTTTGCAGTTAGAGAAAGAACAAAGTAAAATTATTATTTCTGTAATTATTCTTTATGAAAGTAAGAAAATAGTTACCAAGTGCTGCATTAGTTTATTCTACAGGGGTTTTCCCTAATCCTTTTAAATTATTCTTTGTGATAATATTGCCCTTAATTTTATCTGAGGGGTTTAAAGTGCGTTGTGAAATGAGGTGTGTGCAGATGAGTCTTACTGCTGTGTCTTGCTTCTCTGACAAGTGCTTGTATTGGGTATCTAGCTAGTAAGTCAGCAGCAAAATCTATGGATATGGGATACTCAACTAAATAATCATCTATGGATATGGGATACTCAACTAAGCAAAATCTATGGATATGGGATACTTAACTAAGTAATCATCTGTGTTACTGAATTTTAACTATTGGCATAGAGATTTGCTTTAAAAAAAACAAAGAACATAAAATGCTTTCTGTAGTTGTAAAAGCTCGATGTGATGGGCAGGCTTCTTTTTTATCCTTGAGGCGTATTTCACTTAATTTTTCCTTTGGATTAATTTACCTGTCTGCATATGTAAATGACAAACTGCACAATCTTTTCTGAAGACAGCAGTTGCACAGAGGCCTGATTATTTCATATGCATGACTGCTACTGTTGGATTTGTGCCATTTATTACAGTAGGTGATTGCCTCAGCATCTTTCAGTGTTTTTCGTATAGTATTTTTAAATGGCTTTGTCAAAGTGCCATCTGTCTCGACAGGTGAAAATGCATAGTTTATTGAAACAGATGGCAAATCAGATTAATATTGCCCAGATCCATCGTTTTCTTGCTCGGATGTTCATAAGGTAATGTCCACTGGATTTGTTGTGTTTGCTTGGAAAGCAGAATAACAAAGGCAAGAGTTTTATTTGTTTTTTGTTTTTTTTTTTTAAGAGCCTCCTTTTGTAGTGTTTTGAATGTGTAAGTTAAGCAAAATTACCTCTTTCAATGTTGTTATTTTTTATTCTGTCAAATGGTTGACATTAACATTATTCATAATTGCAAGAACAACTTCTGTTTGTGTAAACAGGTTATTAATAGTCAGAGATCTGCAAACTTCCCTTGGGTCTCTGGGCCCCGTTGTACTTTGTGTTCCTGATCTTCCTTAAATCTGACTTATTCTCTATAGTTATGAACTGTAAAATGATGGAACAACTGCTTGCTTCTGGATATCACTGTAAGTGAACGTTACAAGCTCTATTTGCAAGAACTTCGAAAGACTTTAAGAGATGCTGTGTGAGCGCATGTTACTGCCTTTAGAAAAGCCTCTAGCATCTGCTTAAATTGAACTTTTGCACGAAGTCCTAAACTTAACAGAACTCTCAGGGATTCTGATGTGCAGATTTTTACCATGCCATGTTCCTGCTCACACTGCCTTTACCAAAATTTCAGTGAATGTCATTGCCATTTTCTGCTGGAGTTTGTTCACCTGCTGGAGGCTTGCAAGTAGAGATGTTTTTAGAAATCCTCTCCGGGCTGTTAAAAGATGATGCTCCTTGGGGTGGGAAGAATATACTGGAAAATTCATATGCATCTCATCCTTTTAAATAATTGGGATGACCTCAGCGTAGGTTGAGAAACATTGATCTTGTGACTTCGGACGCCTGTTAAATGCATTGTGTTGGCATTTGCATCTAATGTCCATGTTTGTTGGTATTGAGAACTATTTATTACTGGGTTTATAAATTTATATTAACTTCTGCCTGTCATCATTTTACAGGTAGCTACATTTCCAGGGTTTATTTTTATATGTGTGTATAAATACATAGATATATAAAAAATAATGCAGTATAATATAATTGAATCTGAAGCTTTTAAATACTTCTTGTGTTTAAGTCTCTGATTAAGTAATAAAACTACCTAACTACAGCTTTCTCTAACATAAAAAGCGGTTAGCGTCTCTGCTGCAAATGGACAAGCCTAATTTTTTGTGCTCTGAAAACCTTGGAGAACATCCTAGTTCACTTAAGGTCTCCAAATGTGTTCAACTTCCCTGTCGTCTTCAGTTCATCAACATGAAAATACAATTCCATCAGTTAAATGGACGAAGAGCTGGTAATGCTGGTGATGATTTTTCCAGCGTAGGGGGTTTTTAATAGGACTGATCTAGCGCCGTTTTGTTCCACAGAATTTTTATAAGTCTGACTTATTTCCAGCTAGACACCTGCTAGCTTTTTGTTATTAATAAATTAAAACCAACAACGAAACCCAAAACTTTTTAAAAATTATGTATTCTTGTGCACTGTTCTTGCTTTTCAGACTGTTTTCTGATGTTTTTGCAGTTTATTCTTATTATGCACTGCCCACATAATACACTTGTCTGTTAGAGACTATCTGTGTATGAAAGGCACATTCGCAGTTGAATTTTGTATCTTTGAGAATCACTGATTACAGAAATCTTTAATGCATCGCTTTTCTCTTCTGCTTGCCTTGGGGCCGTTATCAGATGCTGTGAGACTTGAGACTGCTTACATCACTCTGTGTACCTAACTATGGTGTTTTGCTTCTCTGTGCCAGTGGTAATAAATACTGCACAGTGAATGCAAATGGTTTTATTTTATTAAACCGACGTACGTGCAACTGATGTGAATCTTTGGAGTGTCGCTTTGTTTTGGGAGCAGAAAGAAGTGTTCCAGTTCCAGTGTTTTCAATGTTTGCTGCCCCAGTTGAGTCCCTCTCAACTTAAAATCAGGCAAAATATTTTTAGTGCTCTGTGTGCTCTCTCCATATTTCAAGCCATGGACTAGACCGAAATAGCAACCTTCATGTTTTCACTCCTCTTCACAGACAAATAAGGACGTTCTGTTAGCATCTTCCCCCCCCCGAGCAGTTTACACACGCGCGCGCACGCCGCACAACGTGCTCCTTTGCCGTGCCTCCAGCTGGAGGTGTGGGGGATCTCCAGAATTTCTGTGGGTAGAAGAAAAGTTCCAAATTGGGCAGCTCTGGCTGAGTCAGAGGCAGAACTGTGCTGCCCAGAGGCTGTTGATACCTTCCCTTCCCAAGGTGGTAAAACACAAGGAGGATGGAAGATGAAGACGGTCATGCTCTTTCAGTGTCTTTTAATCCTTTTGGTTTGGCGGCAATGAATTCTGCTTTAATATGGGAAGCAATATCCAGTGCAACATAAAACTTCTTTCTGTCAGATTGATTTCCTTCTTAAACTGCAAACTCACACTTTTTTTCAGTTATTCTACAAGAGTTTGCGTAAATCTGGGGGGTAAACAGAGCAGTTGTAGGGATGCATCATTGTTTCTGCAATATGGGACGCAGGGATGCAGTCACCTATTCTATGTCAGTGTCACATTTGAGATATTGATTGCTGTAACAAGATATGTTTTTCTGGGATTTCATAATTAGCTGTAAAACAGTGATTAAAAACCTGTCTATTACAAGTTGAGTACAGAAAAAGAGAAATTGCTGAAGTCTTCTGAGGATCTTGTTTGTCATCTTAATCTCGCACGTCCATTTTTAAATGAAATGTTCTCTCTGAGGTGCTGTATTTTAGGCTGTCCTTTTCCCAGTGACACTACGTAGAAACTCGATTAATGTGTGGCAGCAAGGGGGAAGGGGCATGTGTTATCAAGGTCTTTCTCTTACAGATGGCGTGTATTCTGTTCCCTATAAGCATCACTTTATTCTCATCCAACTGGTATTACTACAGAAAGAGCTTGCCTCATTAACCACCATAAAAGTGTTTGGTAAACTAGCTCTGAAGCAGTTTTGAGATGTTATTACCTGGAAGCAAGCCTCAGCTTTTATTTTTATTTGCCTTTTTTTTGAGGGGGTGGGCAGGAACGACCAGGATTAAAGAGAGAAAAAAATAGGTACTTCCTTCTCTAATACTCCTTTCCAAACCGTCCGGGGCTCCTGGTACACATCAGGCACAGTTAACAATAATTGGCCATGAATCATGGAGCCCATTCTCCTTTTTCTGTCTTCTCAGTATTTTATGTGTTCTGAGCATCTGCTCTTGCATACGGTTAGGAAATGCTGCTCTAGAGGACACTACGTGCATCTTCTCCAAAGACTGTCATCCATACCAAATCTGTGTAGTAGCAAAAAGTGACAATATCCTGAAATAAGACATTCTAAGGGCCAATTTGTTCAGGATTATATTATGGAGCTCTGTGATTTAATAAGCTAAAATAATCCTTAGTGCTTGTTCCTTTTTTAACTTCATGTTTTTTTCTTTTGGCTTTCAGCTCAGATCGACTGATAGAAGAAACAATAAGGTAGGAATGAACTTACTAATTTTCATTATTTCCAGTACAATCAGTGTTTACATTGAATTGTGTCCAAAGCTGTCAGTCATTTTGTTTATACAATAACTGCATTGTTTACAACTCATAGGGAGTATTACAGTGAAACGGTGGTGGGTTGTTGTTTTTTTTTTCCCTATTCAAGATTGACATAATGGTGTTGCCTAAATATTTTATTAATCCTAGTTGAGAAAATTCAGCTTTCTGTTCAAAGGTGAATAACCCCTACAAAAACAGAGGGAATGACAGAGCATGGTGAATGTCAGGTTGAGCTGTTGAGGGCTATTCCAGTAGTCAAGCTGTTTCTTCTCATAGTGACACTCTCTTACAACATGTTTTTCTGTAATCCTTCAATGTATTCAGCATCCTAGTATGCAGCTGATACAGGTAAGGGCATTTACCATAAGGGCTTGAAGGGTTATTGCTGTTGTATAGTTATTTATCTTTTGGTTTTTTATGTGGTTCGAATACTTGAGCGATACCTTCTCTAACTGATGTAGAAATTTTAGAACCGTAGCATCATAAATTACTTTTATCATCTGTGCCCTTCCCAGTCTTCCATTGAACTCTGGGATTTTGCAAACCAATAATTCAGAGTGCCTGACTTAATGGTTTTAAATTTTAGATTATTGCTTTAAAAAAAATAAAAAGGAAGAAAGAAAGATACGCTTTCAGATAATGCATGTACTGGCATAAGTGTTCAAGAAGAGTAATTAGAGGTGCAGCAAGGCTCTATGTCCATTAAGGGCTGGCTAGCTTAAGTACATACAGTGGGCTCAGTATAATTAACGTGGTGGAAGAATGTGTTAAACCACATTAATGTGCAGTGATGAACCAGAAGTTGTCAGTATAATAATGTCTGAAAACGTGGATATAATCCCACCACAGCCTCATAAAGATATTTGCCAAACTTCGCACGGTTATTGTGAATACTTGTTTTACTTTGGGTTCTAGCTTTCCTGATTCAAAATCCTCTCCTTTATTGCCATGGTTGTAGCCTTACTTTTCCGTCTCGTAAAAATGCTCAACATCTGTTGAATCTCTTATTTGCTACCACTCCAGTAACTAGAGCATTAAACAGCATATGGTGATTTATTAAGCTTAATACCCTGCAAAATGACTCATGTTTTATCATTTGAGCTCTTCGTGTAGCCTCTTGATTATGTGCCATCAGAGAAGCTGAGGGTATGTGTATGTGTGGTAAGTGAACCTCGGTGTCGATCTGCCTGCGCCAGGGAACGTAGCCGTGGCAAACCGGAGCTCAGAACAGGGCAGCTACTTGAATACCCAGGTTCCCACGTTGGTTTTGAGCCTACTCAGAAGCTCCGTGGTGTGATCAGTAGGTGTCCCGGCTGGTTTAAAACTGCTTCGAGTTTCATTTGCGTGAGCTGCAGTCCTGTGGTTGACTACAAACTGGCCATCTCCACAGTGACGGCTTCTCATGCAGTAATCCCTACTGCATGGCTTGGTTCAGAGCTCCTTGGTGCTATTTACTGAAAGCATTCCTTCTCTTAATAAATGAACTGTGATTTTTCAGAGGCTGGATTTCAGCACTCCTTGTTGCACCATTTATTATCTGTAGTAAATGAACTTCTCGTAGTTGTTGCCAAAAACGTTCTATATTTCTTTTTGTAGAAAAAGAGTTTGTTTTGGTCACGACATTGAGCAGGAAATGCAATTTCATCTGTATCATCTTAATTCGATTCTGACACTGTTGGAACCAGGGTGAATTTTTTGTTTTCCTCTTTTTCTTGTTATTCCCAGTAATTGTAAGTGTTCAGGTTTTATATTAATTGGTGGTAAACGCTGCTGCATTTTAAGTGACTTTACCAGATAGAAATTTACCCAACTTCTGATCATCCATTGTGTTATCTATTGTAAACCAAGTAAAAGAGGGAATTGTGCAGGGGAAGCTGTTCAAATGCAGATTCCTTGAGTGAAGTGAGATGTAATGAGCTTTTCTGGCTACTAATACTGCTCTGTCTTCAAGGTTTGCATCTGCTGTAGTTCGTTACTCATTATTTGGGTGTAATTCAGGAAGTTAAGACATCACTTTTTATTTTTTTAGGGGTTGTTATTAAGCAGTGATTCTAAATGCTGGAAAGGATTTTGCTGTGCATGCCGAGGCTTTCGTTGACAAGCTGCCTACCGGCGACCCCATTGCCTCTCCAGTCAGCACTCATTGTGAAACCCTTGCTCTAACTTTCTGTAGAGAAGAGAACCGAAGAAATGCAGAGCCTGACTCTTCCCACGTATGGCTCCTCCACGGGAGCAAACATACGTGCGAGAGAATATATGAGCACCTAAGCTGAAATTATTCAGTAACTAAAGTGATGAGTAGGGCTGTCATTCCAGATGTTTTGTTCGTACTAAACTTTTAATCAATTTTTAAATGAATTACATGACATGGGTTCTTACTGCAGCATATTTCTTTCCAGAAATGAGTGGGATGTGATACTTGGTACTGCAGTTCTTTCAGAACAGTGTTCACTTCTCTTGGCCAGATTTAAATATAACATAGATTTTGCTTAATATGTTTGGTGTTCTCAGGTTTTCATTTTCAAACATTATCACTTCTCCAAAATAGAAAATGATTTATTTCTTGTTTTCCAACAACTTATATTTTTAGGTTGCCTCAGTTTGAATTTTTTTTTATAGTTTTGCATGTACAGTGTGACAAGTTCTTAGGATTTTATTGTAAGATTTTCTGAGGCCTGATTCAGGCTCATTTGTCGGTGTTTGTATATGAACAGATTGGACTACTCCACTTCCATTCGGAAGCCAGACCAAAACCATAGGTTTAATTAAAAAAACCCTCATCTCCTTATATATTTGGGGTATTTCTTTGGGTAATAATTAGGATTTAATAAAAGGGAAAAATCCACTTGCATTGAATCTTGACTTTACAGAATGGAAAGGCATGAATTAGATTTTGAGTCTTAGCTCTTCTCAAGAGAGCCTTGCCAGAGTGTCTAGGCAAAATCACTTGCATTTCTGGGGAAACGTTCCTTTTGTTTTCATCTTAGGCTTCATCAAAAGACACAATAATCTTTAAAGTAATTTGAAAGATTGTGTGCGTGTATGCATATATATATACACACACGTGTATATTTATAGATACAAATATATATGTATATGCAAAGAATGAGTGATGTAATCAGAATTTTTACCAATTTAAAACTAGAGCTTGCATTTCTATGCAGAGTCACTGAGGCCATTCCCTTAATCATAGATGTTGTCATGAATTTAAATGAGCAAGTATGATTCACGGAGTACAAAATGAAGTAGAAGTTCCAGTAATACATGAATTATTTGATTTTTAAAAACATCTTGTTCCTTTAGAGCTTTGTTTTAGTTCTTCAGCAATGTAGATTTGACTGAGCTGTCACAATGAATGAAGCAAGGAGTTGACTTTGGGTGTGTTTCACTTGGTAATATGCTATATGTATATGGCTGCTATGGGGGGTGAAAATACCCGACTGCTTAAATGTTTATCTAGGTAAAAACACTGTGCTTCCAAGTCAAGCAGCATGAAAAGCGTATCTCTGCATGTTAGACTAGCTTGACTGTGATAACGGCTGGAAATGTTTATTACTTTGTACTTTTTCATGCCCGCGAAAACTGCAAACTCTGTACAAACATCAGTTGTTTTACTTTTGAAGAGAAATTTGGTTGCTTGCATGCCCACAGCACTACTGAACATTCAAGGACAAACCTGAAATGTATGTAAAATTTTGAGGAAATATGGCTGCAAGCACAGGAATTTGAGATACTCCTGCTGATTTGTGGAAGGGATGGGAGGGCTCTTTGTGGCTGTGACCTCAGGCTTACCTAGAAGAGATTTCTCCAGTAGTGCAGCAATCTTTACTGTTGTACTTCAGCAGTGCCTTAGTATCAAATACAGAGAGCAGACTACCATCTGGTTTTAGACGCTTGGTTTACACCCAACTGTAGTAGTTCAAGCCACTGCAGCACCAAGAATAGTTCATGCTAGTTTCCAAATGAAACGTTAAATCAGGGTCATCTCGATTCCAGTAAGAAACATTTAATCTTTTATCGTAAATGTTCTGTAGAAGTTTCAAAACATGAGAAAGAGGTATTCTTGATCTGGGGAGATTATGTTGTCGAGTAACTAAATGGGGCCAATATTGTGAATGGGAAGAATATGATTAATTTTTTTTTAAATGCATTTGTCAGTGGAGAAATGGCAACAGCATGTCAATGGGCATATGTTAGGGATGGGAATGAAACCGAAACTGGCTAATGAAGGATATGGGGAAGCTGCAATACTTAAGGCTGTACAAGACCAATCAGTGGAGCAGTCCACAGGAGCTGCGTGTTTTCTGGTAGTGCTTCAATTTAATAGTCTCATTTGCAGATATAAAGGCTTAGGTAAACCAGCTCATGTTTTGAGTGATCAAATTGTACATGAAGAACAGTGCTTTTTACTTGAGTTTTGACTTGTTAATGGTAGCTAGAATCCAGTTAAACTCTTGTTCATGGATATCACAATTACATTTCATTACTAGACCTTATGATATTAAAAATGGTAATCACTACAATTATTTTTTTTTCTTCAGAGCTCTTCAGTAAAACCTAGCCCACTGAGCTAAATTTTTCAAAATACTGAGTCAAAGAAATGAAGAAGGTTCCAATCTTGTAATACGTAAACTTAAACAGTTTCATCCTGCCTTTTTATATGAAGTGGACAGTTTCACTCCCCAGATGTTAAAGCAGGAACCTTGTGTTCCATGATAATCTGTAATTATTTCCAAAGGCATTTTGGAAGTGTCTCAGGAACACTTTATATCCTGGCAATCATCTTGTGTTTTCACTTCTGTAAATTAATGGATGCCTTAATGAGTCATTGGATGCATCTTATGAAAACATGTGGCTTAATTCAGGAGTGCTTTGAGAAATGCTGTATTAAAACTTCCTCTGGAGAAGTACCAAGTCAGTGTGGGGGTGTAAGATAAGAAGCTGTAGGTTACTGAGCAAGCTTGCCTGTGTGCAGCTAGGAAATCTATTTGTTTTTCCAGCTTGGTTCCTAGTAATTCAAATTTTCCCAAGTGCTCTTCTCAATAGCGAATGTAATGTTTTGCGAGCTCGTGGCTTTTTACTTTGGAAAACTAAAATACCTGTATGCTGAGTTGTAAATGTATATAATCTGTCAAATGCCATATGTTCTCATGTATGATACGATTTGATGTATTTACTGTTCTGGTTTTGTAGTTCCTTTTTCAGCCCTTGATGGTAACTGCTTTTTCTATATTCATACACAGCTGTTTATTCTCTGTTCAGAATTTCTGTTCACACCTTCTCTTAGATGCTGTTTTTGTATATTCAGGCACTGTTGGGGTAGGCAATGATGCAATTCTTTTCCTTCTCCTCCAATCTTATTTTCACTTTCTTTTCCTGTAATTTTCATCCTGAAAAGATTTTCCCGTGTAATCCAATAAATCAGTTACATTTATGGGTTAGATGGGTTGGTATATCCACAGGAACAGCCCACACAGGGTGCTGAGTGGCAGTACTACACAGTCTAAGAGAAGAAGCTTTGTAGACTTTCTTCTGTTCTTTTTGCAGGAACAAAGAGCATTGGTTAATGGATTCGGGCAACTGCTTTATAAACTCCACGGAGGTGACTGCAAGCCCTGTTGCTTCCAGTTAACCATGAGTTTCATTTTCACTTTGTGCTGATTTGGCACTTCAAAAGTATAAAAGAAAAAAATGCTAAATAGCTGGCTGCAAAGAAAAAAATGCTTGAAGGTTTTTCTTAGTTCTGCCCTGAAACTTCCTTTTTTTTTTTTAATCTAATACTTCAAAACTTAGTATTAAAATGTTAAATCTGTTCATATAGAGCTACTGATTGAGAATGTCAGGGTTTTGCCTACATGTTATCAAACTGCTTGTATTGTCCTTATGACTGATAAACTCCCAATTTCCTAATGTATATCCAAGTTTACAGAATGCTAATATAACCTTAAAATAGTAGCCTGATCTGCCTTGTCAATGCATGTTGTTCTATTTAAAAGAATCTGCTGTATAGAGCTTTTGGAAGAGTCTTTTCTGTGACCCGAGAGCTACGAAAGCCATAGGCTGGCCCTTCTGTCACCTATGTCTCACATGTGTCTGTGATGAACTTTTGCTTTCCAAGGTATTCTGCTCCTGCTAAAACCAAAATCATGCTACTTACGACATGCAAGCTTTGGCTTGGTGAGCTCTTAGTTTTTATGGGCGAAACCAGAGCTGGAAAAGGCAGCCTCCACCTGAAGTGGTGGTAGCAGATTTTTTCCTTTTTTTCTTTTTCTTTCTTTTTTTTTTCTTAGAGTTTGCCTGACACTCTGTAGGAAGGCTGAAGGTACTGTATCAAGGGCTACTTGGGATGGAGTAGGCAGATATAATGGAAGGGAGCCCAAAGGAACTCACTGCTCCAGAAATACTTTAGAGATCATTGATCTGGGCTGTTTTCTTCTTTAAGATGTTTGTGAACTGTGATAGTGACCTTTCGCTGTACGTCTTGAAGGATAATTGTTAGGCTTGGCTCCGCTGGTTTTTGCCAGCTGTTCTTGTGATACTGGCTCTAGTGTCCTGGTAGGGACGCCGGTGGTACATCAGGTGAGTCAGAGCTGCTCATTCCACACGTTTTGTTCAGAGAGAAACTTGAAATAAAATGTATCAAATGGTCTTTGTTAGAAAAATG